GTTACAGTGACAACTGGAATATTTGCCTGTGACCTCTTTGTGGCTTCTTTACAGCACAGCAGATTTAGAGTAGTCAAACTTCTTTCTGGAAGCTCACAGCTGCTGCTTAACATCAAAAGCTACTGTGGCAGTTTTAAAATGTGGCCTCAGATTCTTGGCACTCCTTCTATAGAGAAGTCTTTGAAAGAGGGAATGCATGAAGACTATACAACCTCTAAAAGTCTGCCAATACAAGTAATCCAGTAGTAGGAGGGGTGACAGAAAACTATCGTAATTTTTTGAGATAAGTAGTGAGTGAATAGGAGATTTGAAGATTTTTAGGTCTGGGTTCTTAATTGTTTGGGGTTTATAAAGAATCTTGGTAGGTGTCTTCTAATCCTCTGACTGTCCCTCCCCATCCCATCTCATAGTTTCTGCCTCCTGGGGTAGTTTCTGTCCCTTCTCTGGCCAAGACCATTGGCAAGCTCAGCTCCTGCTCCAGCTGGTTCTTCGACTTCCTGCTCCATGATCATGCTTGGCCAATACTTTGACTCCTTTTCTGTTTTCAATCTGGACTGTCTGTTTTCTTCTGAGGCCACACGAATGAATGGTAGGCCAGGAAGCACAGGGAGCTATCGAGATTTGCATGTGAAGGCCAAGAACATTGAGGCGGGTGCAGTTTGCTTGTTATTTACTTTAAGGTTAGCACCAAGTAAAATTGTGTATTTGTTTCTTAAAACAAAAATATCTTGAAGACACTGGTAACTTTGCTTAAGTTAGTATTATCATTTTACATATGTGCCCTCACATGCATTTATATGTACTGGTTCTTTTAAGAAGAATGTGGTTCTCTGTTTTCTGGCAGGCATCACTGGCTCACACCACGATCTAGCTAACCAATGAAGGATGTTCCTGTTGCGGCTTATTGAAGATCCAACAGCTACAGAGAATTAATGCATTTCTGTCTCTATCTGCTAGACAGGAGGTGGAGGATAATAGGAATGTGGACAAGTTCATGGATATTTGACACTGCTATCTCCTGACCACTGTAAGCACTCCTGAATCTGCCTATCTTTCATTTGGGGGTGTGTGTGGTTGTTTATTGTTAATCCAAAAGAATCAGGAGACACATTGGGTGAGCCTGTGAAAACCAACACCCCATCTGAGTATGAGCTCAGCTCTTCTGTGCCCCAGAATTTTTCATCTGAATCTTGTGGTGGTGGGGACCTAGAATTTCACAAGAGCCTTTACCCTTAGCTTTGCTTTTTTGTGTGTGTTCTCGTGGCACGCAGCTATTTCTCCTCTAATCTTGTGAAATACTCGCACTTTGAGCCCTCTCATTTTACTTTGTAATTTTTATGGCATTTATAATTGAGCTTCATAAATTCTGCTTCTTCAAGCCTGTGGACTTTTGGACATCATGCCTCTGTTTGAAGTCAGGTTGGTAGGAGCTTCTTCCACATAAACTTTTTACTTTAAGAGTTCTGGCATTTCTCTGGAAATCAGGCACTGAGTCAGAATGAAACCATTTCAGAAAGTCTCCCTAAATTGGATATGAAGGAGAGCTAATATGTCCACGGGGCATGCTTGTGGAATTAAGTTAATTGATGTTCAGCTAAGTATAGGGATTTGTTCTGCTGAGTGGATTGTGCAACCTAAAGACAACAACTGGACTGGTTTGACGTTTTTAGAAGCTTGGTATGTTGGAGTAGGAATGGAGGGCTGTTACAGTCAAAACAAAAGACAGAGACTGGGATGGGGTGGGAGGGCACAGAAGGAAGAGATTGGAGGGACAGCAGAGTTCCACTGTTATGATTAAGCTTAGCTGGAAATCTCCCTATAAAATCCACACTTAGATTTTTAAACAAAATAACCTTTTTGATTTAGAACTGTTCTGGGTTAAAGAGAAGTTGTGACACAGTACAGAAAGTTCCTGGATGCTGTATCCAACACCCACTCTCCCCTATTATTACCATCTTATGTTAATAGAGTACATTTGCCACAATTAATGGACCAACATGGTACATTATTATGAATTTAAGTCGAATTCATTTATATTTCCTTATTTTTCCCCCCCATCTACTGCCATTTTTCTGCTCCAGGATTTCATTTTGGACATCACATGATATTTAGCTATCATGTGTCACTGGGCTCCTCTTGGCTAGGGTACTTCTCACAGTTTCCTTCTTTGTGATGACCTTGACAATTTTGAGGAGTGTTGAAGAGATATTTTATAGAATGTGTCTCAAATTGTGATTTTTTTTTTCATAATTAGATTGAAGTTCTGGGTTTGAGGAAGGAAGGCTACGAAGTGACAAACTCGTAACATCATTTCAAAGCTACAGTCTATCTATAGGACTTATTACTGTTGAAGCTGAACTTCATATCATGTTGCACACTGTTATTACCCTCTGTTATGGTTTGTATATGAAGTGTCCCCAAAAAGCTCCTTTGTGAACACAGGAATTTTCAGAGAAAAAGGGAATGGACTGTGAGAGCCCAAATATTTTCAGTACATTCTGGTTTGAATGGCATGACTCAAAGGGCATGTGGGGTGTGGCTGAAAAAGGTGGGTCACGGGGTGTGTCTGGAAAGGTTGTTTTCACTGTGGCCCCTTTCCCCCTTCTTCGCTCTACTTGCAGATTTCCAAGTGGTGAGCTATTTACTCTGCAGGGCCCTTTGGCCAAGATGGGCTGCTTCACCTTGAGCCAGGAGCATTGGAGTCAGCAATATATAAAGACTCCTGAAACTGTGACCCCTGCGCCAAAAATATCTCCTCTAAGTGTTTCTCGTTGAGTATCTTGAGCAAAGCCATGATAAAGTTAATTAACACACAGGCATAGGCCATTGTCAATGCTGGACATGTATACTTATGCATGCTTCTGTGTGTGTGTGTGTGTGTGTGTGTGTGTGTGTGTGTGTTTGGGCATGTGCGCACTGCTAGGAAGTGAACCACGTCCTGGAGCATGCTGGGGAAGCACTCTTAAACTACACCTCCCATCCCTGCGGGTGGAGCCTCATGGCCTGACTGCACTCTTGTGCAGTTGGTCACCACTCAGATATGCCTGTGTGAGGGAACTCCTTGGGGTTGACATGTAGCACTCTGGATTGGGGACTCAGATCTTGATGAAGGCAGATCTCTGATGAAGCAAATCCAGGACAATTAGAAAAGCTAGTGCCACTTTTGTTTCCTACAAGATGTAAGAGAACAGCATAGCAGAAAACCCCAAGTTGATTCTATAGTACCAAACTCGGTGTGTGCACATGTAACATTGTGGCATCACTGGCTGAGGGGGTGGGGATGGAGAGGAACAGCAGCGGCATTCTCTACGCCAGTGAAGTTACCTTGCCACAGACTCCCATCTGGCTGCTGTTCCTATCTCGTGGGAAATGAAACCCCCACAGGAACCGCCAAGAAATACCTCTAGGACATATCCAAAGTGAGAAGTAAGAAAACTCAAATGTTTCACTACAGACATCCCCTGAACAGAAGACAGTCCCCTAACAACCTAAGTCACACTGAAGCAAACTTGCCCTGGCCTCCCTATGAGGACACAAGCCACGCTGAACCGTGAGCTCACCCCATCCCTTAGGCCCCATCTTTGGTAATTACGTGCTAACAATGCCATTTCTGACAAGAGAGACCTTATTCTTAGGTGTGGAGGTCTGGGGGACAGGATGGATCCCTGACACTCCCTGGTCCTACCCATCTGGGAGTCCTTTTCAATAGGTGCCGAGTTCTGTCATGTCATTATTCTACATGAATCCATACCCTCCTGTGCCATTCTTGGCTTTTCAGTAAAGTGCATCGTATGGGGATATTGGTGTCTATACTCTTGATGGACTTTGGTCTGTGGATTTGGGGTTTCTCTGATGGTTTTACTCTGGCAGCAGCTTTTCTGGTTTAATGGTTGGGCAATACCAGCTTCATAAAATACATGGCGAGTTGTTCCCTGTGCTTCCACTTCCTGGAAATGTTTGTATACAGTTGGTCTTAATTCTTCTTGACTGAGTGGCAGAATTCTCCAGGGCCATCATCTATAGCTGAAGATCTTTTGGGAGCTTCTTACATTAGGAACTTTATTTCCTTGATGGCCATTTGGCTTTTATGTAAGTAGCCACCATGGGAAGGTTTAAGATCACCAGTCCCCAGAGCCCATGTGCTCATTTCTCCATGACCTTTAGCAGCAGCCAGGAGGAGATTTTGGGTTTGGAGGCCACAAGGCTTGCTGGTGCCATTCCCAGCCACTGCTGCAGGCAAGCCCACCTCTGGCTTCCCTGCCCATGGGATTATGGAGGTGATGCCACAGGACACTCTGGAGTCCTCTCAATACCTGCCAACCACCCTTCAGGGAGGGGCCTGAAGAGCAGGAAAGGGATCCTTTGTGGCCAAAGCAATCTGCTAAAACAGAATCAAGTCTACAGTGGCTCAAGGAGAGAATCTCCCTCTATATGACATCAAGGCACTTGAGTCCCCATCTACACTGACAGGTGCCTGAGCCTCTACCACACTGAACAGCAGAGGGAGGCCCAGTGGTCCAGGCCATGGATGGGAGGCTGCTCGGCTCCTGCTTTTGCCTTGAGGGCTCTCTCTGGTTTTGGTTTTTCCTTTTCAAATTTTCTCCTCTATTTTAAACGTGCTGTCTTAAAGCAAAAAAAAAAAAAAAAAAAAAAAAAAAAAAGTCTTTGGAACATCAATTTTATTATACAATGTGTGAGAAAGAGAAATTGATGAGGAACCATCGCTGGTTTCCCAGAAGCCCGGGAGGAAGGCCAGGGCAGAGCAGGGCAGGGGGAAGTGTCCCAGGGAAGAGTCTCTGATGTCTGTAGCAGGAGGGGGCAGAGAGAGTGGTGGTGGAGGCCGATGGGCTCTTGGATGGAGTCCACGTGGGGAGGCCCAGGCCAGTGGGCGTCCCTCAGTGCTGCAGCTGTTTCAGTGCCCTTCCTGACGGGTGCCGACTCTGAGGTCAGGCTGCTCGGAGATCGGGGTCTTCTGGCTGTCCCTTGGTCTGTGTGCCTCCTCAGGGCTCGTCCACTGGGGCCACTCTGTTTTGGAACCTAGGGCTCCTGTGGCCTCCCTGCACCGGTGCCGCTCTTCTTCTGGAGGGGGGTCCGCCGAAGCAGGACATGCAGCAGCACAGTTGCTGGAGGCTGTCAGCGGATTGGCCTGAGGACCCCTGGGAGGAGCTGGGGCCTTCTGCCACACACCCGCAGAGGACCTTCCATGGGCTGGGCCTGGGGTCTTGGGGTCCGCGGGGCACAGGGTCACCTCGGGAGGCTGGGCTGGGAGAGGCTATGCCCACGTGGAAGAAGCGCAGAGGGATGGCGGGCACGCTGGCACTGACCGCGCCCTTGTGCCCTGCCTGCTTGGCCTCCTCTAGCAGAGACTGGTGCTCCCAGAGCACTGGATGGGCAGGCTCGCTGGCGCACCTGCTGGGCAGGCCACGGGCATCTGTGGGGCCTGGGTGAGGCCTCACCACCCTTCTGCGCACAGGCCTCGCCTGGAGCGCCCACCCTGCCGCCGCCTGGGTTCTCTGGTGCTGGAGGATAAGGTAGGTGGCCATGGCCTCGTCGTGTTTCCGCTGGTCCAAGGACACCCAGGCGTGGTAGGGGTCGTAACCCATGTCGAACATGATGGTCATGATGGCAGGGTCTGGGTGTCTGGGGTGTGGGTCTCTGCGAGGACTCGGCCAGGGTTCCATGCCCTGGCTCAGCCACAGGTGCCCCATTACCTGCTCCATGGTGGCCCTCTGCCTGGGGTCCAGCCTCAGCATCTGCTGGATGAGGCTGCAGGCGTCCTGGGAAAGGTACCTGGGAAGGTGGTAGCTGGCCTGCATGAAGACGTCCTGCAGGCGGTTGGCGACTCTGGCCTTAAATGGGCGTCTCCCGGTGAGCATGAGAAACAGGGTGACCCCTAGGCTCCAGATGTCCGCAGGGGGACCCTCGTATTCTTGATGCTGCACGATTTCAGGGGCACGGTATGGGACAGTGCCCCAGAAGCCGTTGAGCTTCTGCCCAGGCGCGAAGGTGGCGCCAAGGCCGAAGTCGATGAGCTTGACGCTGCCGGCCCTGATGTCCACCACCACGTTGTCGGGCTTCAGGTCCAGGTGCACGATGCCCCTGTCGTGGCAGTGGCGCATGGTGCGCACGATCTGCCTGAACACCGCGCTGGCCTGCTCCTCCTGTAGGCCACCGACCTCAGGGATGTAGTGCCACAGGTCTCCCCCATCTGCGTGCTCCATGACCATGTAGACAGTGCTCGGGCTCTCCATGACCTGGAAGAGCTGGATCACGTTGCGGTGATCCAGGGCCATCAACCTCTCCGGTTCGAGAGGACGGGCACGTTCCCCTGTGCCTTGGACACCACTTTCACTGCCACCTCTGCCCCGGTGAGGAGATGGCGGGCCAGTAACACATGGCTGAAGCTCCCCTCCCCAAGCTCCCTCACCACCTCGTAATGGTCGGTGAGGGCCAACTCGTAGCAGGAGCTGGGCTCCTGTGACCCTACACTATTCTCTCTACTCTGACTCTGCATCCTAGAGCCGGAACACCAACTAGGGACGCTAGCTAAAAAAAACAAAAACAAAAACAAAAAAAAACCAACAACCAAAAGACAGAAGACAAAACAAACAAATGCCAAAACAAAACAAAACAAACAAACAAAAAACAGCAAAACACTGCAAACCACCAGCCACCAATCACCAAATGCACTAACTATCTGGGAGTCAGACAGGTCACCACCAAGAGCTTCCTGTACTTATGGACGAAAAACCCAGCTGCAGGCCCTCTCTTAAATGGCCAGTGTTTGAGAGCGCATCACAGTGGCTCCTTGTGATGTCAGAGCAACAGATGGCCCCCAGTGGTCATCTCACTCTGGGGCCTCTGGAACCTTTTCAACTTTCATAATAAGAATAAGAAAGGTTTTGGTGTGAGTATACTATGTATACAGCCAGAGATATGAAAAATTGAGCTCTATATATGTAATAAGAGTTGTAATGCATCCCGCTGTTATATATAAATTAAAAAAAAAAGAATAAGAAAAGACCCCTGAAGATTTTTGATTCAGGGGGTTATGGAAAATGATAGTTATACGTATAGACATTAAAACTTGTGGGAAATTTCAATGATCTTTTCATTTGGACTCTGATGAAAACCCATTATAACTTTGGGCTTTTAAAGGCCTCATCCGATCTACACTCCAACCATTCAATTCCTATTTTTTCCAACTCAGAATGACTGGTGTCAAAGGGATGGTAGCACTTCACACACGTGTTGATGCTAAAACAAAAGGCTCTGTCCCCTAAGACCCTTCAGGGCTTGGTGTGAACACCTAAGGGGCTGAGAGGGAGGAATTATTGTTTATCGTCCTTTCCCCTCAAGGTTCTCAGCAGATTTCACTATAGAAACCCTGCATCACCAAAGGCAGTGGATTGATATGTTCAACAAGAGAAAGGATAAAATATGGAAGCCCAGAATCCTAGAACCAGCAAATGTGTCCATCCCGTATGGGGAAGAAATGGAGGCCTTCCCAGACACCCGGGTCCCTTCCTGCTGCTATAACGAGGTCCCTTAGACTGTGTCATTTATTATCCATAGAAATCGACTTCCCACCATTCTGGAGACTGGCAAGTACAAGGTCAAAGCACCTTGTTGCTGTATGCTCACGTGATGGGAGAAGCAGAAGGTTTGGACTCACTCTCTCAAGCCCCGTTCCTGTTTGTTTTGCGATGTGTTGGCCATTGAAGTCAGGGCCCTGGGTATGTCAGGCAAGTCCTCTCTCACTTTTTTTTTTTTTTCCAGACAGGGTCTCGCTCAGTTGCTCAGGTTGGGCTTATGCGTGTGATCCTCCTGACTCTCTGTTTTTGGCTTTTCCTTTTTAAGTTTTATCTCCTCTATTTTTCAACCTGCCCTCTTAAAACAAAGCAAAAGAAAAAAGTCTTTGGAACATCAATTTTATTATTCAATGGGTGAGAAACAGAAATTGATGAGGAACCATCGCTGGTTTCCCAGAAGCCCGGGAGGAAGGCCGGGGCAGAACAGGGCAGGGGAAGTGTCCCAGGGAAAAGAATCTCTGATGTCTGTGGCAGGAGGGAGCAGAGAGAGTGGTGGTGGAGGCCGATGGGCTCTTGGCTGGAGTCCGCGTGGGGAAGCCCAGGCCAGTGGGTGTCTCTCAGTGCTGCAGCTGTTTTGGTGCCCTTCCTGACGGGTGCCGACTCTGAGGTCAGGTTGCTGGGAGTTCTGGGTTATGTATGTACTGAGACCTCTGAATCCTGAAGTTCCACATAGACTTTTTTTTTCTCCAAGTTTTCTTGTTTGATACTTTGGTCACAAAAATGAGAAAGTTGACTAATACACCCTTCTTTCCACAAATGTTACCTGGGAAACTCACCACTTGTGACACATGCTTAAGGAACAAAGAACTAATTCTAGTTCCTTGAGGATGAATACATAAATAATTTTGGGTTCTCTACAGGATATTTGTCTCTTCTCCCCATTTATCTGTTTCTTTAATGTTAATATCAGTATTAACTCATGGATATTTTTTGGTATATTGGGATATAGTTCTACATAATTTATTTTGTTGTTCTAATTCTTTTAGTTTTGGCTCTCAAGAGATCTGTCAGTTGCCATATGTTACCATCTGATATACCCCTTAATTGTGTGTGTGTGTGTGTGTGTATGTGTGTGTTTGTGTGTATGTATTAGAACTTTCTTTTTGGCAGTAAAATTACTCCGCTGTCATTTTGTATATTTCTTGACCCATTCAAGAGAGCAACGGTATTAGAAACCAAGATTTGATTCTAGCTATGCTCATTGCTGCTGAAGTGTCATTGCTTTTTGGTCCTCTCAGATGACAAATCCAGAAGATATATCTATCTATCTATCTAGATAGATAGATATAGATATAGAGAGAGATATAGAGATATAGATATAGATATCTATATATATACACACACACACACTAATCTTTACACACACACACACATACATAGATATTTTCATGTGTAACTATGTGCTATGGTTTGAATGTCCCCTTGAAAATGCTTGTTGAAATTTAATTGCTATTTGAATAATATTAAGATATTATTATGGAGGCTATAAGAGATGATCAAGCCAAGAGGGCTCTATTCTTGTGGGTAGAGTTGGCTCTGTTATAAAAGAGCAAGTTGGATCCCCTTTCACCCTCCCTATTGTTTTCTACCATATGTGATGACTCTACTTGAAGGCCCTTGCCACCTGTCAGTACCTTGATCTTTAATTTTCCAGTCTCTACAATAACTGGGATCAATAATCTACTGATTACAAAATACACAGTCTAGATCATTCTGCTATAGCAACCCAGAGTGAACTGAGATGCTCTCTCAATATTAAGCTAAACATCAGTTCATACTTGATCTCTTGAACCCTAATCCATTACCACATGGATGCCTCTACACTCCTCCTCTTGATTACCTGTCAATTCCCACTCAAATTATGGGGAGCCATCTATTAATTAAACTGTCCAATCTCAGGATGCATATTTTTTAGCGCCAGAATTGTGAAGCTGTCCTCAGTGGAAAACATCTTTTTCAGCTAGAATTCAGGGTTTACATACAGTTTATTATGCCTCTGTCTTACAGATTCTGCATACATTCAAAGTACTTAGGTCAGCACCTTTCTCTCTTGCTCTCTGCAGATAAATTATTTCATACATTTATAATGGAGATAGTTTGTTTTGTCACATTCTGCATTCCTTGCTGGATTCCTTATTCTCTTAAATTGTGTTTTAAAAATGTGCATGCATTAAAGTTCACTGTTTATGTTTTAAAGTTCTTGAGTTTTAACAAATGCCTGGTATCATGTACCCACCAAAGTGGTATTATAAAGCATATTTCTACTGTCCTAAAAAATTTCCTGTTTTGCCTATTCAACCACCCCTGGAAATTACTGCTCTTATTATGGTAGGTACAGTTTTGCTTTTTGAAGGTAGATTTTTTTTTTTTGCCAGCAGATACAAAGGGAAACATGTCAAACAAAATGCCAAATCTGGCTTAAAGATGGATGGGAGAGGTAAACAGCGAATGCCTCTCGGAGCTCCAGATATGGACTACTGTTGTAACGATGACGCTCGTGCTCAAAACAGAGTAAAACTCTCCAGGTGGAAAATCATTTTACTCCACACTGATTCAAGAACATTTTATTGAATACTCACTGTGTTCTCCATACCAAGAAGACAATGAAGAATATGGTAGTCCTTTTGAAAACATATACTTTTATTTTTGAGTAAAAATGGGAAAGTATTTTTCTTTTTCACCTAATTAAACATATATCCGACATCTCCCGCCAAAGACTTATAGCTTATTTTTTGCTTAGGATCATGAGCAAAGTTAAGAAATGTGTTAGAAAAATGATTATAAATGAATAGGAATTCATTTATGCTGGTGGTCTGTGCATTTAAAAAGCATCAACCTCTATGTATCTGCCACTGTGAGGCCCATCTACATGGGAAGAACCTTTGACCATTGATTGAGTCTGGCCTGCTTTCTCATCATATTATCTTGTCCCTCTTTTTAAAAAAATTTGTTCTAATTAGTTATACATGACAGTAGAAGGCACTTTGGCACATCATACATAAATGGATAGTGGATATCCTGCCCTCTTTAACCACCTTCCCCTCAAGCCAAGAGTCGCCTGCCCTGAAATCAAGTTTTGACCGGGTAGAATTCAGTGCTAGAGCTTTCCATGTCAGCCCCAGTTCTCCACCCAGCCTGGAAAAATATTCCCCCAAGATCAGGACCTGAACCTCAAAGCACTCTTCACATGGTGAGGTTACCCTTGTGCCATCTTTCCAGTGCTGCCCCAAGGGATACACAGGAAGTGGAAGATCAGAAGCCCAGCCTTCTCCAGGGGAACAAGATCTCTGCCAGGAGTCAGCGGAAAGCTGATTTTTATTTCTGCAAATTCTGGCTCCTGCCTCTGGAACCCGCAGGGCTAGTATAGGATGGGGCTCTGGCTGGGTAGCTAGAGTTTCACCACAAAAGGAAAACTGTTCAACATTTCTTAACAATGGGCATTCAGGTGCCTGGAGCAAGAGGCCTCTCTCTATAGGGTTTTTTGTTTTGTTTGTTGATGGATAAAGACCCAAGTTTATGAGTTCCAGTTTTAATAAACTCTGCAGTCACTGGCCCTTTTGAGGAATTGCCGGAACTCCACAAAGGTCAGCTCAGGTGGACTAGACAATGGGTAGTTTGTGCAACTGTTTATTGAACATGCTCTTAGGGTAAGCGGGAAGGCTGGTGGGGGGTGCTACAAGGAATCAGACACTGAACTGCCC